ATTTTGGCAATTAACTTCAGGATCTAACCATATATTGGTAACAAGGCTTGATTAAGCACATTATCAGTAAAAAAATTCTGCGAGAAGGAGTATAAAAAAAAGAGATAAAAGATTCGCCTTTCGCTTAAATAAAAAAAAAAATCTTAAAGTTCGAAAACCTAAGCTTGGATAAAGTGTTCGTCTCTAAAATAAAGCCCTTTTACGTCATTAAAATCAGTTGTAGTTATTTGTCGTTACTGTTAATTCTTTCCCCCGTAACTATTATATACCCATTTTTCGTATTGAATAAAAGAAAGAAATAGTTATGATTAGTAATCAGGTCCCTTATATATTGAATACAAAATTGATTAAACTTGTGATTAACTCATTAAAATCGATATCCATGTAATTGATCTAGATCGTGACCCCATAATAGTAATCGCTACGGAAGAAGTAAAGTCTTAGCAAGACAATTAGAAAGCAACTAAATCAACCCAACGAAAAGTAAAGAACACTTATCTGAACCCAACACTATCTCTATAAACCCGATTACTCAGACCAGCCTCAATCGAAGCCTAGGTTTGATTATTAGTTATAGCAAAATATTTACAATTTTTAGAGAGATCTAAATAATTTAACAATGAAAAGTTAATGCAGTCCAATTAATTGTTAATGAATTAAATGCGGTGTTCTAGTTAGAATAGTTGTGTTAATATATTGTAGTGAGCCACTTTCTTAACGTATATATCTGATATGTATGTACGTACGTACGTACATAAAATATTCAGTACGTATATGCATATTACCATTCAGGTGATTTTTTTAAACTAACCTGGGGGGTAACCTACGGGTGACCTGCGGGTGACCTGACGGGTGACCCGTCGGGTGACCTGACCCGATTTTCACCCAGGTGACTTATTGTCCACCCGTCGGGTGACCTGGGTGAAGATTTTTTGGACGGGTCAAATCACTAGCTAGACGAATACATAACAACATCTTCAAAAAAAATGCCAAAATTTGGAAAATGTTGTCATCATGGAAAAGTTAGCTTTTCTTTTCTTCAAGATTCTCCTTTTCAATTATGCCAACTCTTTGAAATTCAAAATAAACAATCTAAAGAATTTTATGAGAACATACGTCAATATAACACAGTGCATACTTTCACATCCCTTAGAGCAACTATAGATTAGTCCGTTATTCGTGGATATGCCCATATAGTTTTCGTGTTTATGGAGAACTACATTATCTTTCAGGTGCTTTACTTTCTAATTCCAATATTGCTGCAAGGTATGCTCAACTGTACATTTACGATCCTGAATTCACCCATTAGACAAAAATAACCTGAAATGAGAAATTATACCCTTAAACAATGTAGAAATTACAAGATATTTTACGAAAGCATCATGTGTTTTATCCTATATATCTACAAGCACATGAGATTCTTGCACAAGCCTATAAAAGTAGTGCTCTTGAATCTGACTTGGCAGTGCATCTTCACTTCAATACTGAAACTGATCATCGTTGATATAATCTTCCTACTTCAAATGAAATATCTATCATTGTTCTTGGTAATAAATTAGCTCCTGATGCAATATGTACTATAGTATTTTAATTATATGAAGGCCAACTTGAATGTATTCATGAAAGTTATCTAGCATATCTTCCACTTCATTATGTTCTTTTGTTTCTATATAGAGAACTTGGATGGCATTCCAAACTTCATTCTGAGACCAACAATCAAGATTATGATAAAGATTATGATTCTGATAAAGATCAAGACAAAACTTCACGTATCACACAAATGAACTTTTATTCATTTCATCTATTTTCTCGCTGTTCTGAATTCTCAATAATCCTTCATAGCAGAAAGTTGTTGCAGGAATTTATAGTTGATATGTGGGCTACAACAGAACAAAGTCAGCTGAGATATTTATGTTTGAACCAAAGTACACTACGAGCAGATGTATACCAGGGAATTGCTGATATTATAAGAAACACTACAAATGAAGAAGTATTGTTAAACAATTTGGAACATCGTATAATTTTTCTATTTACTTATATTGGAAGTTCACGTCATATACTTGAAGTTTTTTAAGACTCTATTGCTATAACTCGATTTTTTTATCATCCTAATATTTTCAGAACAATGACAGCAAATCCAAATTGGCCTAAAATCATCAACGAGTTATTATCTGTGCAAACTGTTGCTGATCGATCAGATTTAGTGGTATGCGTATTTGAATTTAAATGCTGTGCTCTACTGTATGATATTAAGAAAAAAGATATTTTAGAAAAAGCAGCTGCTCATGTATATACCATTGAATTTCAGAAGCGTAGTCTCTCATCTATGTACTTTCTTATTTTTCTTCAACCTAACAGTAAAATCAGAACAGCTGCTGATGTTGATTGGATCGTGTATGCTAAGTTTTCTAATCAAGAAGAAGATTCTGTACTTTTTAATACTATTTTACGCTGTATGGTTCATGGCCCGTGTGGTTCTCATAATTTCCAAGCTTCTTGCATAGAAAACAACTATACAAAAAGATATCCAAAAGATTTTCAAAACACAACATCAATAGACAGAGACGGATATCCTCTCTATGCTAGAAGAAATGATGAACAAACATTTATAGTTAATAGCAAGATTGTAGATAACTGGGATGTAGTTCTATACAATCTAACTCTCAGTCGAAAATACAACTGCCACATAAATATAGAGGTGTATGCATCTATATGGGCTGTTAAATACATATACAAGTATATTTACAAAGGCTATGACAGAGCCATGATACAATTTGGCCATGAACATGATGAGATTAAGCAATTTCTTGATGCAAGAAACATAGGGGCACCAGAAGTAGCATGGCATCTCTTTGGTATGCGTATACACGAGGAAGCACTGAATATTATGAGATTGGCCTTATATCTTTCTGGAATGCATCAAGTTGTTTATGATTCTAGCAATGATACTGCATCTGTTCTAGCTTGAGTGAAATATCAAAAAACTACACTCATTGCCTTTTTCAAAGCTTGTGCTACTTTGGAAATTGCTCGCTGATATACTTATTAGGAATTTCCTCAATATTTCAAATAGAATAAAACTAACAAAAAATAGACAATTCAAAAACAAGGCTTTGCTATTGGCAGATTATATTTTGCTGGTTCTTCTTTAGGAGAACGTTTTTATCTAAGGCTTCTTCTCATTAACATTCGTGGCCCACAATCATTTAAATACTTAAGAACAGTTAACAATATTATTCATCTAACATTTAAAAATGCATACTTAGCTCTTGGTCTATTAGAAGACGATAATGAATGGATTTAATGCTTAGAAGAAGCTTCTATTATACAAAGTAGTTCGCAGTTGCACTCCTTTTTTGCAATTATTCTCACTCAATACAACCCAACTCACCTAGAGAATTTATAGATATGTTACTGTATAAATATTTGCGATGACCTTGTCTTTAGATTATATAATGAGCATGCGATTGATGAATCTACTGATAAACAGATATATGATTATAGAATTTTTCTTTTAGATAAGATTCTTTGCAATTCAAATCAGTTGCTTGCTATATATACTTCGATGCCTCATTGGGAGCACAACTGAAATAATTCCTATAGCAACAGGTTTATTGCTGAACAATTAGCGTGAAACTATAAAGAACTTCGAAATTTAGTTAGTAGCCATATTCCATAATTAAATGCTAAACAATTTGCTGCTTATTGTGATATCCTAGATTCAGTAATTAATACACGTAGCAAACTCTTTTTTTTAAACAGACCCGCTAGAACTGGCAAGACATTTGTATACAATCTTCTTGTGATAAAACTCCGTAGCAAAGGCCTGATCGTAATTTGTGTCATATCTTCTGAGATTGTAGCTTTTTTACTCATTGGTGGCTACACAGCATATTCAACATTCAAAATCCCTATTGACGTTGTTGATAACTCATTCTGTTTTATTAACAAAAACTCTGATATTGCTAATTTATTCTGCCAAACATCACTTATCATTTGGAATGAAGCACCTATGCAAAAATGTTACTATATTGAAGCTATTGATCGTACTCTTTGTGATATTTGTGATGACTAGTGACTATTTTGAGGAATCATAGTTGTGTTTGGTAGCGATTTTTGGCAGACTTTGTCTGTTGTCATCAAGGGGTCTAGAGAACAAATAATTGCCGCATGTATTCAATAATCACAATTGTGGTAATATATAAATATATTAACTTTATATAGAAATATACGCTTAGAAAGTGAATCAATAAAAAATCAAAGATATGCAAATTGGTTAATAAAAGTAAGAAAAAAATATATTACTATACTCGACTATACCTTTAAGTATTATATTTACCTGATTTAATATATACCTAATAGATTAGAAACAGAGAACATATATCTGAAGAGGATAACAACATTGTACTTTCTGAACAACTGAAAGTTGGTCCCGATATAAATATTCTTATTGACGTGATATATCCTAATATCTCAACTGAAATATCAAAGCAAGAATATTTAAGAGACAGAACTATTCTTTCTGCGCAAAATGACAATATACAAGATATTAATTATACCATTTTAGATATGTTTGCTAGAGACCAACATATATTTTTAAATGCAGATAATGCCATTATAGAGAAAGAAGCTGACAATCATAATGTATATCCTATCAAATACTTAAATTCTCTGAATCTATCAGACATGTCACCTTCTAAACTTAAACTTAAAATCAGGTGCTCTATTATGCTTTTTCGTAATATTGCATCTTCTTAAAGACTTTGCAATGGTTCTTGATTGATAGTAATCTGCTTTATAGGTTATGTCATTAAAGCACGTATTCTTTGTAGAGATCATACAGGAAACCTGGCTTTTATTCTCTGTATTTGTTTAACTTCCTCTTTAACAGAGTTACTATTTGTATTTAGACGCAGACAGTTTCCAGTTCAGGTAGCATTTGCTATGACAATAAACAAGTCCCAAGGGTGGCAATCATTAAAGCATATTGAACT